TATGATTGATAAGAATTTAAAACCAAAGGATCAATGCATGAATGTTCGTAATAAGGCAAACAGGACACTGGGATTTATTAATCATAGCATTAGTAACACGACACCTGGTGTTGTTCTTCAACTATATCTTGTTCTGGTTAGGCCCCATTTAGATTATGCAGTTCATTTTTGGTCGGCGTACTACAGAATGGATATAAATTCACTTGAACGTGTCCAGTGTAGGATGACAAAGTTAATATCCCAAATTAGAAATCTTTCATAGGAAGAATGATTAACAAAGCTTATTTAGGGTATTAAAAGTATCAACACAAGAAAAAACACAAAACAATGGGTATAAATTGGAGAAGTTTAGATTTAGGAAAGACTAAATATAATTAGTCTTTACTAATTAGTAAATTAGTAAAGACTTTACTAATTTACTTTAATTTTTTAATTTACTTTACTAATCTTTACTTTAATTAGTATTTACTAATACTGAACCAGTATTAGTAAATACTGGTTCAGTAACAGGGTTGTTGATTTGTGGAACCAATTACCATGTAACGTGGTGGAGGTGGGGTCCCTCGATTGTTTCAAGCCTGGATTGGACATGTATATGAGTGGGATTGGGTGGTTATAGATAGGAGCTGCCTCATATGGGCCAATAGGTCTTCTGCAGTTACCTTTGTTCTTATGTTCTTATATTGCATTCACTGGAAAGGCGAAGAGTTAGGGGTAACATGATAGAGGTTTACAAGTGGATGAACGGACATAACGATTCTTCGCAGCGGGGATCGTATTCCAGGGACCTGCCCGAAACGCTACGCGTACTAGTGGCTGTACAAGAATGTAACAACTCTTGTATATATCTCTAAAAAAGGGGGATATTAATAGGGTATTAAAAGTATCAACACAAAACAATGGGTATAAATTGGATAAGTTTAGATTTAGGAAAGACTTGGGTAAATACTGGTTTGGTAACGGTTGTTGACATGTGGAACCAATTACCAGTCTCTGTGGTGTAGTGGTAAGACGCTCGCCTGGCGTTCCGCGAGCGCTTTGTCATGGGTTCGTATCCTGGCCGGGGAGGATTCACTGGGCGCAAATCCTTAACTGAAGCCTCTGTTTATTGATTTTTTGGTTTTAAATTCTTACTAATCATAACTCCCAGATCCCTTTCATAATCCAACTTCGCAATCTCAACACCATCTAGCTCGTATCTTGGAACTAAATCATCATTACCTAACTTCAAAACCTTACATTTGTCAGCATTATACGGCATCTGCCAATCTTTTGACCATTTCAAAACCCTATTTAGATCGTCTTGATGTGATAGTGAGGCTTTTTCTGTGTTTATTTCCTTCCCATTTTTTGTATCATCAGCAAATTTTAAAATATTGCTGCTCAAACCTGGCTTAATCATTTATATATAGTATGAATAACAGAGGTCCCAGGACAGAGCCTTGAGGCACCCCACTTACAACATTTTCCCACTCTTGACTTGACCCCATTTACACTAACTCTCCATTTCCTTTGGTACAGCCATACCCTAATTGAACTTAATATACCACCCACAATGCCACAAGCCTCTATCTCATTTTTAATCAATCTTTCATGTGGTACTATATCAAAAGCTTTGTTAGATATATGATGTAGAGATATCTTTTCTTAAAAATTGGTACCACATTAGCAACTTTCCACGATTCCAGTACTCAGCCTGTCTCTAATGATTTATTAAATATGGTAGACAATGGCTCGCAAAGATCCTCTTTGCATTCTTTAAGCACCCTGGCAAACACTTTGTCCGGCCCTGGGGATTTGTTTGGTTTGAGTTTCACTATTTGTTTAATAACATCATCTCTGATAATTGCTAAATTAGTCAACCAGTCCTCATCCCCACCTACATAGACTTGTCCGGTTGAAGGCATAGTGTTAAGTTCCTCTTTAGTAAATACAGAGATAAAATATTTATGAAAAATACTACTCATCTCTTCGTCATTATCTGTTATCTGACCTGTTTGTTTTTAATGGACCTATTCTTTCCCTAATTTTTGTTCGATACAACTGAAAAAAACCTTTAGGATTTGCCTTTGCTTGCCCTGCTATGCAAAGTTCATAGTTTCTTTTTGCCCTTTCTCTTTTTTAACATTTCTAGCCAATTGTACGAATTCTTGTTCTAAATTGACTTCCTCATTCTTAATCCTTTTGTACCAAGCTCTCTTTCTACCTCTAAGGTTCCTCAGATCCTTTCTTATCCATTTCAGGTCATTAGTATTCGATCTATTCAATTTGTATGGTATACTACATTTCTGTGCTTTGCATAGAATATTTGTAAATAAGTTATACTGTATTTTGAATTCACATCAAAATCCCTTTTTACATCGCCTATCACTGGGTTCACGTCTCGCTCCAAGACCGGCCCACCCCCCATGTCAAAGACTTTCCAATTTATTTGACCTCAAAAAATTTATTAGGCTATTAAAATCAGCTTTTCAAACATCTGGCACTTTAACAGAATTTTCTCCTATAGATCTATTCCATTCTATGTTAATCTGATTTCTTTGTGATCACTGTTCCCTAGCTCACTCCCTACTTCGATATCATTAATTTGTGTTTCCCTGTTAGTTAACACTAAATCTAAAATATTGTTTTCCCGTGTTGGTGCCTTAATGCTGCGCGTAAAGAAACAACTTAATTCTAGAAAATCTTCTACTTCATTATTCACTGTTTTGTTAAACCAGTTTATTCCAATGAAATTTAAGTCACCCCTCACACAAATACTGTTAGACCTAAATGCTGTTGATATTTCAACCCATAAACGCATTGCTTCCATTTGGTCTAAGTTGTCTAAGCTTTGTCAATCTTTCTTCATATGACAGGTTTCTAATTTGAGGGATTAAATTTGTCATCCTACGCTGAACGTGTTCTAGTTTTTTATATTCATTCTATAGTATGGTGACCAAAGCTGAACTGCATAATCTAAATGGGGCCTAACCAGAGCAAGATATAGCTGAAGAACAACACTAGGTGTCTTATTAGAAACACTTCAATTAATAAATCCCAGTGTCCAATTTACCTTATTACGAACATTTCTGCATTGATTTTTTGGCTATAAATTCTTACTAATCATAACTCCCAGATCTCTTACGCAATCCGACTCCGCAATCTCAACACCATCTAGCTCGTATCTTGTAACTCTATCATCATTTATCTAACCTCAAAATCTTATATTTGTCAGAATTAAACTGTGTCTGATAATCTTCTGATCATTTCAAAACCCTATTCAGATCATCTTGAAATAATAGCGAATCTTTTTTTATGTTTATTTCCCTTCCGATTTTTGTATCATTGGCAAATTTGCAAATATTGCTGTTCAAACCTGAATTTAAATCATTTATATATATTATGAATTGAATAGGTCCAAGGACAGAGCCTTCAGGCATTCCACTTACAACATTTTCCCACATTAAAGTGTGGGGTTATGAAGGTGATATTAAAACCTTACAAAGAGATCGACATGAACTCCACAAATGGTCAGATGACTGGCAAATGTTTGTTAATGTCTATAAATACAAGACCTTACATGTGGGGCGTAACAATCCACGACCCAACTACCAAATTAACAGCACTACCTTACAACAGATAGATGAAGAAAAGGACCTTGGAGTCAGAATCCATCATTCACTAAAAGTTGCATAACAAGTGGGAGCAGCAGTAAAAAACCAAACCTTGGAATAATCAAGCATACTTTTACCTTCAAGGAAAAGAAAGTAGTCGTTCAATTGTATAAGTCTCTGTTGCGCCCCCACCTGGATTATTGCATCCAGGCATGGAGACCTCATCTTCAGAAAGACATAGCTGCTCTGGATTAAGTGCAACACCGGGCAACAAAAATCATTCCAGAGCCAAGTCATCTTTCGTATCAGGAACGGTTGAGGGCCACAGGGCTAATAACACTGCAGACCAGGCATGACAGGGTAGATCTCATAGAAACCTTTAAAATATTAAACAATTTGGATGATGTTGATCCGGACACTTTCTTCAAAAAGGTCAGATATAACACTAACAAGAAACAACGGGTTCAAGCTCATCAAGCCACAATGTAGAAGAGCAAACACGAGATGCTTTTTTCACCCATAGGGTTGTAAACCCGTGGAACCGCCTACCTGCTGAAGCCGTAAATGCCAAAACTCTGCTGGGTTTTAAAATACAGCTGGAAAAGATCATCATGGCAAATGGGGGAACCTTTGACAAGCCAACCGTATCAGTGGCCCTCAGGTAAATTCAGGTAAATATATTTTGGAACATTTCCTTACACTTGATACGCCAGCTCACTAAACAGCACTTAGAAAACCAATTTTAAAATCTTACTCATGACAAGCAGGTAAAAGACGAGTATTTTACCAGTTTTTAAAGACATGAAAGATAGCCTTATGTAGTTTAAGAAAGTTATTGGGTAATCTAAGCTCAACCTTTACTATAATAAAGTATAACATTTCTAATGACATACAGTAACAGGACTCTAACACTACAAAGTGTCTCCACCTGGTGCTGGCTGCAGAAGCTTTACACCAACTCTACATTCTGGGTTTGTCATTGTCAACATTAAGAGTCACATAAGTGGCAGCATATAGTCATTCCATTTAAAATACTGGCACCAAAAACACCAAGAAAATGTGTTTCATGCAATAGATACAGTAGTTAACTAGGACAGGAAAATCCTGTGTAAAAATTTAGTAATAGGCAAAAGGAGAGTGTTAAAAGTTTGCCTCAGTGTGGCCTGCCCTGATCTGGCCTGGCCTGCCCTGGCCTACCCTGGTCTGCCCTAGAGAGGGAGCAGCCACGACCCACACTCGGCACAATATGAGGGTGAAGGGTAAAGCCTTCAGGGCAGCCCAGAGGCTCGTGTCCCTGGTGGCCAACCTCACATTATCACGAGGTATCAGTTGGGCGGCGCCGCCCACCCTCGGCTCTCCCACCCCGCCCCTGCCGCCCCCAAGGGGCCAGTGACCCCGACTGACCCTGGCTGACCCTGGTAAGACCCCGGTGTGACCATGCCCCGCCCTGCGTGCCCCGCCACTCACTATATGACATGACACACTGGGCCCACCTCCCCGCTGGCCGCTCATGGTTCCAACAATACCGCCCTCGCCGCCCACTCCGCCGCCCACACCCGCCCACACACACTCCACTCTAACTCCTCATTATTAAACCTTTCTGATTTGCAGTCAACGCTCCTTCAATAAACGTGTATTTCCAAAATTTGTGATTGTTTACAGGGTTTATGAAGACTTGGCGCGCATGTTTATAAACAGCCTGGCTCAGGCCTCGACACCAAGCTCATCTGGACTCATAGTTTGTCTCCACTACTCAGTAGGCTGACGCGCGGCCTGCACCATCACCTGCTGACCTGTACCCAGCCGCTTGGGGTTGACCTGCACCACCCATCACCTCGGGGGTTGACCTGCACCACCCACCCCCACCTCTAGGGTTGACCTGCACCACCCACCCCCACCTCTAGGGTTGACCTGCACCACCCACCCCCACCTCTAGGGTTGACCTGCACCACCCACCCCCCACCTCTAGGGTTGACCTGCACCACCCACCCCCACCTCTAGGGTTGACCTGCACCACCCACCCCCACCTCTAGGGTTGACCTGCACCACCCACCCCCACCTCTAGGGTTGACCTGCACCACCCACCCCCACCTCTAGGGTTGACCTGCACCACCCACCCCCACCTCTAGGGTTGACCTGCACCACCCACCCCCACCTCTAGGGTTGACCTGCACCACCCACCCCCACCTCTAGGGTTGACCTGCACCACCCACCCCCACCTCTAGGGTTGACCTGCACCACCCACCCCCACCTCTAGGGTTGACCTGCACCACCCACCCCCACCTCTAGGGTTGACCTGCACCACCCACCCCCACCTCTAGGGTTGACCTGCACCACCCACCCCCACCTCTAGGGTTGACCTGCACCACCCACCCCCACCTCTAGGGTTGACCTGCACCACCCACCCCCACCTCTAGGGTTGACCTGCACCACCCACCCCCACCTCTAGGGTTGACCTGCACCACCCACCCCCACCTCTAGGGTTGACCTGCACCACCCACCCCCACCTCTAGGGTTGACCTGCACCACCTACACTTGGGGGGACACCTGCACCACTACCACTGGGGGGGGGGGGACACCTGCACCACTACCACTGGGGGGGGGGGGACACCTGCACCACTACCACTGGGGGGGGGGACACCTGCACCACTACCACTGGGGGGGACACCTGTACCACTACCACTGGGGGGGACACCTGCACCACCACCACTGGGGGGATACCTGCACCACCACCACTGGGGGGGGGCCACCTGCACCACCACCACTGGGGGGGGACACCTGCACCACCACCACTGGGGGGGGGGACACCTGCACCACCACCACTGGGGGGGGACACCTGCACCACCACCACTGGGGGGGCACCTGCACCACCACCACCACTGGGGGGGGACACCTGCACCACCACCACTGGGGGGGGACACCTGCACCACCACCACTGGGATGGGACACCTGCACCATCACCACTGGGGGGGGGGACACCTGCACCATCACCACTGGGGGGGGACACCTGCACCACCACCACTGGGGGGGGGGACACCTGCACCACCACCACTGGGGGGGGGGACATCTGCACCACCACCACTAAGGGGGGGGACACCTGCACCACCACCACTAAGGGGGGGGACACCTGCACCACCACCACTGGGGGGGGCTGGACACCTGCACCACCCACCACTGGGGGGAGACACCTGCACCACCACCACTGGGGGGGACACCTGCACCACCCACCACTGGGGGGAGACACCTGCACCACCACCACTGGGGGGGGACACCTGTACCACCACCACTGGGGGGAGACACCTGCACCACCACCACTGGGGGGGGACACCTGTACCACCACCACTGGGGGGAGACACCTGCACCACCACCACTGGGGGGGGGACACCTGCACCACCACCACTGGGGGGAGACACCTGCACCACCACCACTGGGGGGAGACACCTGCACCACCACCACTGGGGGGACACCTGCACCACCCACCACTGGGGGGAGACACCTGCACCACCACCACTGGGGGGAGACACCTGCACCACCACCACTGGGGGGAGACACCTGCACCACCACCACTGGGGGGGACACCTGTACCACCACCACTGGGGGGAGACACCTGCACCACCACCACTGGGGGGACACCTGTACCACCACCACTGGGGGGAGACACCTGCACCACCACCACTGGGGGGAGACACCTGCACCACCACCACTGGGGGGAGACACCTGCACCACCACCACTGGGGGGAGACACCTGCACCACCACCACTGGGGGGAGACACCTGCACCACCACCACTGGGGGGGACACCTGTACCACCACCACTGGGGGGGACACCTGTACCACCACCACTGGGGGAGACACCTGCACCACCACCTCTGAAGGAGACAATCACCAGGGTCTGAGGCTGCTTTCCACGCCACCTCTGGAATTGGGTTGATCTGCATACATATGTATGGGGTCTGATGTTGACCTGCAACCAACGACACATGGGGTCTGAGACTGACCTAAACCCTACTACATATGGGGGTCTGTGGTCAGTCTGCACCCCCCCCCATCTGGGGGTCTGTGGTCAGTCTGCCCCCCCCCCCATCTGGGGGTCTGTGGTCAGTCTGCCCCCCCCCCCATCTGGGGGTCTGAAATTGAGCTGTATAACCACCTTGAGGTCTGAGGAAGCACTGCTCAGACATGACTAGAAATGCCACCTCTAGGGTCTCAGGTTGACCTGTACAACCTCACTTGGGGTCTGAGGCTGATTTGCACCGTCACCTCAGGCATCTGTGGTTGACCTGCACCACCACCACCACAGGCATCTGTGGTTGACCTGCACCACCACCACAGGCATCTGTGGTTGACCTGCACCACCACCACCTCAGGCATCTGTGGTTGACCTGCACCACCACCACAGGCATCTGTGGTTGACCTGCACCACCACCACCACCACAGGCATCTGTGGTTGACCTGCACCACCATCACCTCAGGCATCTGTGGTTGACCTGCACCACCACCACCACAGGCATCTGTGGTTGACCTGCACCACCACCACAGGCATCTGTGGTTGACCTGCACCACCACCACAGGCATCTGTGGTTGACTTGCACCACCACCACAGGCATCTGTGGTTGACCTGCACCACCACCACAGGCATCTGTGGTTGACCTGCACCACCACCACCTCGGGCATCTGTGGTTGACCTGCACCACCACCACAGGCATCTGTGGTTGACCTGCACCACCACCACCTCGGGCATCTGTGGTTGACCTGCACCACCACCACCTCAGGCATCTGTGGTTGACCTGCACCGCCACCACCTCGGCATCTGTGGTTGACCTGCACCACCACCACCTCGGGCATCTGTGGTTGACCTGCACCACCACCACCACCACCACCACAGGCATCTGTGGTTGACCTGCACCACCACCACAGGCATCTGTGGTTGACCTGCACCACCACCACCACAGGCATCTGTGGTTGACCTGCACCACCACCACCTCGGGCATCTGTGGTTGACCTGCACCACCTCAGGCATCTGTGGTTGACCTGCACCACCACCACCTCGGGCATCTGTGGTTGACCTGCACCACCACCACCTCAGGCATCTGTGGTTGACCTGCACTGCCACCACCTCGGGCATCTGTGGTTGACCTGCACCACCACCACCTCAGACATCTGTGGTTGACCTGCACCACCACCTCAGACATCTGTGGTTGACCTGCACCACCACCTCAGGCATCTGTGGTTGACCTGCACCACCACCACCTCAGGCATCTGTGGTTGACCTGCACCACCACCACCACCACCACCACCTCAGGCATCTGTGGTTGACCTGCACCACCACCACCTCAGGCATCTGTGGTTGACCTGCACCACCACCTCAGGCATCTGTGGTTGACCTGCACCACCACCTCAGGTATCAACCAGCACCATCTAGTCGTGCCACATACCTATGCTCATACCTGACTACCCATAATTTCAAGTTTGGTCAGGCATGTGGTTCTCAAAGTAATTGTACATGTGCCTGTTAATAATTTCAAACACATGAGCATAGTATAAAAAAGTGCAACAACTACAGTGTAATAAATCGTCGTCTCGCATCATCTCGCTACTCTTAATTAAGTACAGTAATTGCGATATTATCCTTATACACTTTTAATTATGGGACGAGAGTTCTGCTTGCAGTGTCCCAGTGCAGTGTTATGGGATAGGTGGTGGTGCTTGCGGTGTCCCGTCTTCCCGGTGGTGGGAAGTTATCGGACGAGAGCTCTGCTTGTGGTGTCCCGTCTACCCAGTGGTGGGAAGCTATGGGATGGGTGGTGGTGCTTGCGGTGTCCCGTCTTCCCGGTGGTGGGAAGTTATGGGAGACGAAAGCTCTGCTTGCGGTGTTCCATCTTCCCTGTAGTCGGAAGTTATGGGACAAGAGCTCTGCTTGTGGTGACCCGTCTTCCCTGTGGTGGGAAGCTATGGGACGGGTGGTGGTACTTGCGGTGTCCTGCCTTCCTGGTTGTGCTTGTGGTGACGTTTAGAAGAGTTACAAAAGCGTAAAAGGTTGTGGGGGACACACATACTCGCACACAGACGACGTCCAGTTAGTGTAGGATTTATTGATTGACTCTACAAGTGTGATACATTGTGGCAGGCATTCGCTAATAAGACCTCAACCTTTTCTTTTCACCTTTTTTTCTATAAAGGAAATTAAAAATTTATTTAAAAAAACTATATTTTTATTTGTTTTGACCATTCAATAATACATTTTGCTTTAAAAAATACAGGTACTTTTATAAAAGAAACACATCTTAGAAAAAAAACAAAGTTTTTCAAGAATGCCTGCTCTGCAATGTTCACAGTATTTACATAGCTAACACTTAATTCAAAGAAACTTAACTAATCTTGTACATTACACTTATGTAAAATAACATGATCCTATATACAGTACATAGCAACTTGATAATGACACACTTCCCCTCAACACTGCCTTGGTGCCAGGCCTACATTTGCACCCCCTCCCTGCTCCCCCCAAACAAACATACTGTACAGTATTCTATTTCTTTAAACAAACATCCATACAAACTATTCAAGACAGGTCTGTACCAAGCTCCTGTCTTCCCATTCTTTGCAGAAACATAACACAGTATATATATAATAGAAGGGAATAACTTTCAATATTCATCAGTGAACATAGGTAGATACTGTAGCTTGAACAATAATACTTTGAAATCTTACATTCTTCTGCTCATGAAAACTCTGAAGCTCAAGTGCAATGCTGAAGTGATAAGGAGTGAGTCAGCCAGCCTATAGCATAGACTAGCCCACTGTAAAAAAAAAAAAAAAAAAAAAAAAATGACAATTTAAAAATGTATTAACTCTGTTTCACGTAATTACAATAAAAATTTATACAAGACATATTTACAGGTTGTCCATGCATACCATCATCTCTTATACAAGTTTGGGATAGTCATTTCAGAGTCAGTTTACCTGCTTTTAAATTAGTTTTATCCTCTTGGGACTATCTTTGACTTGTATTATCAACAAAAAAAATCTTTTTTTCAATAGTTTTGTTACACAGTATCTTGTATCCAATGTGCCAGTGATTGCTGTACCAAGAGGCACTGTAATGTACACAACTGCACCTACTATTTTTTCATCTACCACTTTCAATTAATTCAGTCAATGAATTTCAATATTATTAAGAGACCAAATTAAGTTATAAATGGGTCTTTGAATTCATCAATCTGACAATAGAAGGCAAAACTGAATAATCAAAAATTTTTAGTTTTTCTTTTTAAATCCTCAATTGGTGAGGCAGTCCTTTTCGAAAATCCAATATATATACATCTGTGTGGAATTGCCCAATATGAGCAAGTACAACACTGGCCATTTTCAGTTGTATGCACAAAATACATAAAATAGTTCACACAATGTCACTACAAACTGTACTTTGTAGCCGACTTTCATAATTGCTGCTAAAAATAAAAAACACTATCTTTTAGAGGAGTGTGCCTTTAAAAGACTATTATTTAAAATACATGTTGCATAAGTTTTTTTTTTTATAATTTACAACTAATAATCAATTTCTGGATAAGGACTACCTCTATCACACTCTTGCTCTTCATAAGGATGCTCTCTCTCATACCTCTCACGATACGAGTTATCTCTGTTCCTTTCATGACTATCGGTTTTTCCTTCACGTCTTTTTTTTCCAGTGTGAGGAAACTTTGAATGTCCCTTATCTCTACTTGCTCTCGAGCGCCAATCTCTGTCCCATTCTCGATCTCTTTCCCAGTCTCGACCTCTTTCCCAGTCTCTATCTCTCTCTCGATCTCTATCTCTCGACTTGTTATAGTGATGGCCCCACCCTCTGTTGTTATAACTCTTTCCTCCTTCCCATCCACTACCTGGAAAACGTCTCGCAGGGCCATGTGCTCCCGAGTATCTTGAAGGCCCATGAGGACCTAAAGAACTGTGGGGACCTATGTAACTAGGAGGAGGTAACTGGGCCCCTGAATGGTCTATGGAATCCAAGTGATCTAAGGGAGCAGGCGGCACGTGTCTTTCTGGGCCTGGTAGTCTTCCTGGCTGAGACCCATATAGATCTATGGGTTGTGGAGGCCCCATAGCACCAATGTAACCAGAATGACCTGAAATGCTAGGCGGGTGAGATGGCAACACAACAGGGCCTCCTTGGGGCATATAACTACTTGCTAGACCAGCCTGCATGAAAGAGGGTTGAACTGGGTGATAAAGAGATTCAGCTCCTATTTCTGAATGAGGTTTATTAATATTTTCATTTTCTTCCATCTCTGAGGCTTTAGCAAGCAACTCTTCATCACTCATTTTACTCAATGCTTTGCTTTTCTCCAAACTAGCAGCAGCTTGAGCACGAACTAACCGTGGATCCCTTATTCTGAGATCCGTATCTTCATCAGCTTTCAAACCCGAGTCTACTCTATTTCCAAAGTTTTCATTGTTGTCGTCTGTATTTTTTAAAATGCGTAGATCTACATCACTTTTGTGATCTTTACTAGATTTACTTTGAAGTAATGGCCTCAAATCCACATCAGCCTTAGCTCCAGTGACTATACTATCACCAGTCTTTTTATTGTCAGAGTCCTGATACTTGCCATAATTCATCACAATGGGATCTGATGACAGGCTTAATCTCCTTTTAATTTCTTGTTCCTTCTGTTTAATTTCAACTTCTTTCTGTTTAATGTTATCTAGTATTTCTTGTAAATTGGATGGAATACTGATTTTAGATGTATCAAGTTTTAATTGTTCACTCCCAGAAGAAGGGAGGTTTTGAGCACACGAGGGGCTATACGGCTCTTCATCTTCATTACCAATTGTCTTTTGCATTTCACTTAACTCCTTCTTGTGTTCTTCAATTTGCCGATTAAGTTCTGCTAACATGGATTCTTGATCTAATGATGCTTCAACAAATGTTTCTTCAATAGGGCTATTTGGCTCTTCATTTATACAGGAAGTAACAGCAGCTGGGGAATCATTTACCAGGTCAATGTGTCGCTTCTTAGGTTGTATATCTTCAACTGCATCTCTTGTTGGTCTCTTTAATGTTCCTGGCTCAAGAAAACCCATTGATGTCTCTTCAAGATTCTTTGGAACAGAAACAGACCTTTCATTTACGTCCATTTCATCATCGGAATCCTTAGCAGCCAATGCAATTTCTTGAATGTCTTCATCAGTAGGGAGTGGTGGTGTGTAGCTCCGCTCTGGTAACTCTGTAAAAGATAATAAAGGTTAATTGTGTCATTTATTATTAATATACAGTAATTATAATTTTTACATACAGTACATATATCCCATGATGAGAAAATTATTATTTTAAACTCCATTTTGTTCATGTTTTTCCCTTTTTTTTTTTTAAATGATAACTGGAGAACACTTATGCAGTGGCCTAAAATGATGTGCAGTTATGCTTACTTTGGCCAGTACAGTATTGCCCTTTGTTCTTTAACACTTAAGAACAGAGCATCAAACACTTTTATTGCAATACCTGAATAATGCTTAATGTTTCATTTAAAGTTTGGTATACACACATGCTTTGGGATTATATAATATAAAGTATTAGTATAAAATTCTGTAGCCTCCTTAAGGTTACTTTTGAAAGTACAGGTCCAGTACTTTTTTATGGATAATTTTGTTAATAACTATATTGATCACAAAATTGCTTCAACTTTGGTACCCCCCCCCCCCGTTTGTTTAGAGATCATATTATGTAGACAACACATACAGTCCTGTATATATACCATTTATGATTCTGTAGGTTCAGTGTGTTAGTTAATGCATCATTGTATTTTTGTGTCATCAAGAGTTATTGCTGTTGGTCGGTCAGTCATCTGATTCAATAAACTTAAGATTTAGTACTTTTATGTACCAAGAACCTTGAGTGAACTTTATTGTTTAACACTTCTTCAGTCCCTTGCTAGCTAGTACTATAATAGGTTTGATTTGTTCCAGAGTGTGCACATTTTCAGTCTGATCTAATATTTAGATAAAATTCCTTCAAATTGGTATAAAGAGTACAAACAGCATCATTCATATTTTAAAAATACCAGCCTGAGGATCTGTATGTACAACATGGCACTGTAAGTTTACAATATTTTTCCTTCTACCATAATACGGGATGTTCCATTTTTTTAGCCAATACCTGTGCTTGATTACAAATTTTGTATTTGGCACACATACATATGATTACATATGCCTTGTGACCTTTCAGGAATTCTGGAGCCCACATATTTTCTAAACTTATTTCTGTATTCAATTTATATTTGATGGGGACATTAGTTTTCAACAGTTGCTCCATTATTCCATGATTTTTTTTTTTATATAGAGTATTTAGAAATCGTGGTGACCCTTTGACCAACCAGGAGCCCTGGTTAGAGACCAGGCCACTAAGATGGGGATCCTTACAACCAACACAAGGCAACTACAAGATAACAAACTTTTGGATGTCAATAAGTCTTACTTCACCCACAGCTTGTGAGTAATGTGGTTTGGAGTCTAAAGAGTTACATACTTTAAAGTAGTAAATATTATCCATATTCGATAACTTGTGAAGCATATTCTTAAGTAGATTAAAGTTATGTCAAGTTGAAGTTTCCAACCCTACCCACTCACTGCAAAAATTTGTGGGGCTATATAATTTTTAAATTCCTTTGCCAGTCATTATAACTCAGTTTTCCACTAACATGGGACAGGAAGGCAAATACTGTAATAGAAAGTAATTAATTAGCAGAAAAAGGCATTAAGCCACTATGGCTATATAGCACCATTAAGTCAAAGGTTAAAAGCAAGGTACAGTACTTCTATATTAATGAAGATATTAATACAAAAGACATAAGCTTGGATACATTAAAAATATAAAATTCCTGGAGGAGTTTATCTAAAGGAATTGATGGAAAAGTAAATTTATAGTTGTCGTGAGGGGCTCTACTAACAGGATACATTTGCTTTAGAAGGGGTGGGAGGGCAAGTGTAGTATAGACCCATAATATTTTAGTGTTTCGATAGCACCAAAATGCATACTCCTATCTCGGATACCAAAGTATCAGGGTACCACAGATCATCACTGCCAACCACCCCATCATGTGAAGCAGTTCATATATATATATATATATATATATATATATATATATATATATATATATATATATATATATATATATATATATATATATATGTACATATATGTATATATATATATATATATATATATATATATATATATATATATATATATATATATATATATATATATATATATATATATATATATATATATATATATATATATATATATATATATATATATATATATATATATATATATATATATATATATATATATATATATATATATATATATATATATATATATATATATATATATATATATA